AATATTTCGGTGGTACATTGTTAACTTTTTATACAGAGAGTCGGCAAGATGATATAACATCCAAAAATCGTACTCAATTTGAGTGGGCCGATGAAGTGGGCGTGGTCACGAAATTCAGTAAGAGACTATTTGTACCCCTTGAGTTTGATATGACGAAAAACGAAAAACGAGAAACGAAAATGAAATTTGATTTTCATATTCCAACGCAATTAAAAAACGGTTGGCACTAAGGTGAACGCATTTTTAATGCATGTTCGTTTTCCACGTGTTTGACATGTGCATCAGACAACAAAGATGTTCCTTCAAATTCTCAGTTAACTAGCATTGCTTTTTCTCACTGTCTCTAATAATATGACTGACTTACTAGAGTGATGTTTGCCTGTTTAACTGTGGAAAGAAATATTCGACGAAAATGTTTTGTAACATTAACTTTATGTCACATTGTTTTCAGGGTTCCTATAGAAAGCAGGTTGCGTTCAAGCTCCTGAAACGACTACCCTCCCAAAAGATTTCTTTCATTCTTCTAGACTAATGTTACTGTATTTACCGGTCAGCTTTCATTTTCAACTTTCTCAAATCTTCAGGGCTATGAGTCACAATTTAAGCTCTTAACACTGATTTGATGTCGATTAAATATTTATGCTTCATCATTTCATCAGAAAACCATGCTGCTATGTTCTTTCGCCGTTTTCACTGTCATATGCTATGTACAAATAAGTCAAGCCAATAAGCAGTGCCGTCCCTCCATATATTCAGAGTATGGTCATGCATCTTTCCGATCATGTTGTTTTGATAAGAAAAACATCCAGTATTGATGAATGTGTTATGCTCTCCTCGAGAGAGTCTTGTTGCAGGAGTGGGAATTTCCGTTTATATGGGCAAGGTATGGCCTTGACAGATTTTATAAATAAAAGGAATGATGATATCTATCAACACAGCTTGAAGCACCATGATAATTCTTTCCACATCCAATGAAATTTATCAACTATTAGTGAAGTGAACGGGGTTTGTGGTGGGAATATAGTAAGATACACAATCACAAAACAAGTCGTGGTCTTTTTATGTTTTCATTATCCTGAAGACTTACAGTCGTTATGTTTCGCGATTTTGCCGTTGAAAAACCGTAAGAAGTAAAAGCAGCAATTTTCTTTCTTGTAAAAACAAAGCAATCATCGTGTGCAGCTGGGATACCCAACCAGAACATAGGATTCGTTTCTTGTCGCCGAGGCTTTCTTGGATGCTACTCAAAAGCGGCTGTCATTATTATTGTCATTGTTATGGTGTGCGTTTCGCGAAATTGTTCTATATACTATTGATATTATCTATAGGATGATGAATTAAAATCTTGCTCAGAAATTCTAAACTAGCTGCCTCAGGCGAAAAGCGGTTACTATTGGATAAATATTGGAAATCAAGACGGACAAGTCTATTGTGATATATATGGAAAATCATGGTTTGTAAACTACCTGTCGTTTAAAGTCACAACGTTTGAACACAGATCTAACTTGCAGCAGAATTACACTTTATTTTTACACTGAGCACATATTCTACAGTAGCAAATACAATAGAGCGGGAGAGAGTGTTAGTCACTGAAGACTGACATTCCTTTTCAAACTTCATTCATTATATAAATAATGCCGAAAGTATCATGTGAGTAAATGTTGATTAAAATGAAATCACTTTTTTTCTTATTCCATTAATTCACTCGACACTTTCAGATTTTAGCAGAAGGCAGAGTGCTCATCACATACTGAAACTAAAAATTTCCTAGCTCCCCTAGATAGAGTTAGAGTTTTCTCACTACGGCTTAGTGGTAGAGCATCACATGTACGGGGATAAATCCAAAGGAAAAAAAAATAAAATGATAAGAATAATAGTGAAATCAGTCTGGATCGTGGTCGCTGACTATCTCCCCAAAATCATTGACATAAAAGCTTGATTATAAACACATTCTCCCAGGAAATAGACGGAAGAAAGTTACTTCAACTTAAACTATCTAACAAGAGAAATAAAAGGGGAAGTACACGGTTCGTAACGATCTGTATTTTAGTCGGATTTTAGCAACTACTGTTTAGCACCAGAGATCTAGCTCCTGTACCGTAAACATTTACAATATATGCTCCACAGAAACGTGACAGCTTGTCAATAAATAGTGCGGATTAAATCAGGGCAAATAATGTCTGTTTAGTTGATTAACAACAACGAAGAAACTCGCATGAATTGAGAACGCTAAACTTCCGAAAACAACAAATAAATATGCCTGAACAACCACACGGAAAAATCACTAAATTTTTCCGTAACATGATTAAAAAAAATTGATGAACCCGCTTTTCCAATTTTTTTATATTATTCAAGCCTGCGGTTATATTTTACGATTGTAATAATTCATGACCACAAATCTTACCGGTACTAATTCATCAATTGCAACTCAGCAAAATGTAAGTCTGTGGGTCCTAAATTGCGGCAGATATGAAACGAGTATCATCTGAAAAAATTATCACGAGTTAAGTGTCCCTGTCTGAGAAAGTGTTCCAGGGGCCAAAAGTGGTGGTCAACCGATTCGGTTGAACCTTGGCACAAAAGTTGAGTGTCATAAGTTATTTCAAAAGCCACTTTGTCTCACTTCTCTGGCTGTTTGTTCTGGAGTTTCAGCGGGGGTCCCATTTGTGGCCTGTGGAGCACCAAAAACTCATCCTTCTAGGTGGCATTTTGAAAGTGCTATAAAACTCCATTGGTAAATTCTGCTGCCAAATGAATTTGACCATGTAATTTAGTAACCCATTTATCAAAATCAGTTGAGAAAAATTTGGCTTAATAAGGTTTGTTAGGTTTTTGGCACAAACTCTCCATGCCCCTCTCAGGCCCAGAAAAATGGAGTTTTGAGCATAATTCATGGTATAAACAAACCAAATTCTTGACATATGGCCTTTATTTTGTATTAGGTGAGTGAAAATGAAACATTAAAGCCAAATCAGTATCATTATTCCGAAATATCTCGACTCATAGCTTACAAATGCCCAAAGAAGGCCTCTGGTTAGCACTACAAACACTCAGCGGGTTAGCAAAATAAAGTAAAGTAATAAATGAAAACCTTGAACCCATCATAGAGCACAAATGACGGTGTTCTGACCTAGCTATGACAATATTTTTTAAAAGATGCTTGAATTTTCTCTGATCTATGTTTGGCAGGTCATATTTTCATACGTTACGTATTATATTCCAAGCATGCTAAGTCTCTATATTTTGTAAGACCGTTTTTTACTTGAAAATAAAGTGACCTTAACCCGGCCTTAACCATTAAGCTAAAAATAAAACGATCGTTAAAAGATGATCCACGTCTGACCTTTGAATAGGCTGAATAGCTCTCACAAATACCTATCACTAATATAAGCGAGCACGACCGTGCATACATATTAAGCTTACGTGCCGCAGTGAGCACCGTCCAGGTGACTTGCGATCCACCAGAGATCTTAGGTACTTTTGAACTGAATAAATGGAGCCATCCAACAAAGAGGGAATCCACAGTCAGAAGAGCTGGATGAAAAAACATTATTGTTAAATGAAATATTCCTCACGAGACATGAGATGATGCCAATAGGACCCGCCATTTTGGACGTGAGAGTATTAGGACTGGACCGAGTTTCCATCCCTCCCCCAATATTCAAGCGTAAATGTTTGTGTCCTTA